ACTGTTTACAAAGTCATCTGTACATGTGTACAGATTTTTGTTGGTAATAGAATTAAGGCATCTAGATATTTATAAACATTTTAGAATTCAAAATACCAAGTCATCTTGCTCCAATTTAATAAAAACAGATCTCATATAATTGTCAAGAAAGAACATACCCTTCTTTGCTCTAGATCATAATTATGGGTGGAGACAGAGAATATGGTGGATATTAAAATCTCATTTTATTAATTAATTCAATCTGTATGTACTATGATTTGATTGAGCAGAAATTATTAGTATGTATGCATGTGTGTATGTATGTATTTATTTATTTACTTATTAGAAAGAAATAGGGGGAAGGGACAAAAGGAGAGGAAGAGAGGGAATCTTAAGCAGACTCCATGCCCAGTGAGAAGCCCAACGTGGGGCTCAATCTCATGACCCTGAGATCGTGACCTGAGCTGATATCAAAAGTTGGTTGCTTAAATGACTGAGCCATGCAGGCACCCTCATTGAGCAGAAATTAAATACTAACTTGTTATACAATAAATTTTTACCATGCTCAAGAGTGTGATGCCAAGATGGCAGCCCTCAGGGTGACTGAGACACTTGTTGAACATCTGCTATATGCCAGGCTAAGTGCTTTACAAATACTATTTTATTATCATTTAATCCTTAAAATGACATTATAAGAACATATTATAATTATTGACACTTTACAGATGAGGACAACAGAGCTCAGAGTGGTCAGTACAAGTTGAGATTTTAGCCCTGTTCTTTGATTCAAAAGCTATGCTCTTTGCATAACACCACACTACCATCACCAAATAAAACATAGCTAAAAATTCAGGATTTCAGCTGTGCCTCAGGAAGGGATTGAAATGAAGAGTAATATAAACAAAGCCCCAGGATCGTTACAAGGTAATGTAAATGGCGTCCTAGTGCAGCACTGCTCAAATTTTAACAAGCTGAGGAATCATTTGAGGTTGTTGTTAATTGTGGAGTATGATCTCCAGTAGGTTTGGGTTGAAGCCAGTAATCTGCTATTCTAACAATTTTCCGTGATGCCAATGTTTCTTATCCTCAGACCACACTTTGAGTAGCCCAGCACTGATGCATGATTGGTTCAGTACCATGGACAGTGGAACAGGTGGGTTACTAGTTCAGTCAAATCTCTAACATCTTCTGTGAGTAGATTCTTGCGATAAAATATACAATCAGAAACTTCCTGAGAAAATACTTCCTGGATTGCCAGCCATAAGATGATCTTTCCTCACATATAGGTACAAATCTGTTCACAGAAAGAATTGGGGTTTTCGGAGAAAGAAAGGCTGTCTCCCAGTTTTATTTTTGAAAGGTATACTGCTAGTGCTCCTCAGGTAAACATAAGCTAAAGAGGTTTATCATCAAATAAGGGGGTTAATACAGAATTTATAAAATATTTAAGTATTAGTATCAGCTGCAAAGTTATAAAACCTCTATTTGACAGGGGTTAGTACTCTCACTTGCATGTTTAATGAAGAGAAATTAACAACATCTTTCTGCAGCTAAATATACTGAACTATTAATCAATTATACAAAATGAGAAAGAACGATTAAAAATATGGCAGAGTGCTATTCAAAATCACAGGGAAATAAAATGACTTTAAAAATTTCTTTGTAAATGTATTTCTATTACCTTTTTCTTTTCCCTGTATTTCTTCTACCTCGTTCCAAATTTTAAAGATAAAATCAGATAGATCATTTTCTTTAATTGACTTTGTCCTTTTTTACCCCTTATTTTGAAGCTGCAACTATGGCTTCCAGCCAGATACCTTGGGGGCCTTAAGACTATCAATTTATTTCACAGCTGGAGCAAAACAATTCAGATAAGAATCTAGGAAACAATTGCATTTATTTTCCATTGAAGATATTTTTTATTTTTTGTTTAGGACCTCTTCTCATGTCTGGAGATGCTATGGGCTACATTTATGACAAAAGAAGATGGTATAATTGCACATAAACTTTCTGACAAGCCTTCCCTTGGCTTGTTATGTGTTCTACTTAATGATATTCTTGTTATTCCAATGTGCATTTTCGAAATGAATTTATGAAAAATGTGTTGCTATCCATTGAGCTTACATTTCTAGTATACCAAGAGTGAAGATTGAAATCTCCGTATTTCAAAATTTTTCTCAAGTTAATTTTTGATTCCACAGGAAGAGTCTCTATGTTTGTGTATGTGTGTGTGTGTTTCAATATGTATTGACAATCTAAGTCACAGGTGAGAAAAGTCTTATATATGTTGTTTCATTCAATTTGCACAGAAACAGTTTGAAATAGGTACTTTGTTCCTACTTAAGGAATGGGAGAAATGAGGTTTGAAGTCCCTCTGTCACTTGTGTTTGTAGGTAGTTGAGCTTCAATTACAGAGATGAGTGCTCTCTTCCCACATGCACGCTTATAAGATGGGCTTGTTCTAGTGGAAATTTACAAACCTCATAAGGACGGAGCAAAAATTTTAAGTGTGAAGTGCAGTGCAGCCTGATGGTGAGAGGTCCCCATCCATTACTTCAAAAGCAGATAGAGAGCTAAATTCAAAATCCATTACCAGTGGTGTTATCCTCACCGGGCTTTTTTCAGATGGACAGACACTGGCCATTAGCAAAGATTAAATAATTTACCTGGGCTTGCCTTGAGCACTCAACGCCAGAAAAGAATTTGTAACTAATATCTAGGGAGTTGCTTGGTCTACTGAATTGTAGATAATCCCCTATTTATAAAACATCTTATCTCTCTCTTTTCTGAGACAAGTAGTAATTATTTTTAAAAGAAATATAAATAATTCCCTTTTGGTGGTCTCATGCAGTCCGTCTCTGCTGCCGCTTCTTCTTTGGTTGAATCACTGAAATCTAACTTCAGAAATGAGAGATCATCAGCATCCGTGGCCATAAGAATGGAATTATTTTTTTTTCTTTCATAAACCTTATCACTTCCTCTTTGAGGAAGGCTCAGCTATTCAAGGTGTAGGATGGTTAGATGGGCATTTGAAATGTTTTACCACTTGTATTAGATGCAATGTCATGTTTGATGATCTCTATGGACACTGTGAACTTGTTATTCATTCCCTGGGAACCCAGTGAACACAACCAGGTGATGTCTACTCTCAGAAGCTTTATAGAAAAATGTGGCTTTATAAATACACAGAGCTACAACTAGAAGAAAGGGCCAGTGGAATCACATTCCTTTGGTGAGGTGCCTTGACAAATGTGTAAGAAAACGAAGAGAATTAAGCAAGTGGCTGTGGGCTAAAGAGTTCTTGCTTCAGGTGGGGTAAAAATAAAACTACAGATGGTTTACTGGAGTGACTTATTTGTTCAGCTCCCTCCCTACTCCTTTAGTTTTTTTCTTTTAACATTTTTCGAAATTTTTAGTAAAAATGCCAAGTCTTCAAATTCTTCTAGTCAAGACAGGAAGACGGGACCACAAGAAACCCATTTCCACAGTCTCTTCTCATTGCCACACCTGAACTGCAAAATGTGGGGTTTTGCATGGAATCCCTCCCCTGTCTTAAATACACAAACACACTTCACCGGAATGCCATACTTGCTCTCTGGTCCATTACCTAAAATACATTCAGGAGACGCACAGGTGTACCCCACTGCAAGTGCTGGCACTGATGTGCTCCGCACATGCCGGTGTCATGGCTGGAAGAGTAATCCAGAGTTTTACATGAAACCTTATTTACTGAATTGACCTGCATAGAATAAAATCACCACTCTGTCTCTGCTAAATTGGAGGTAATTATCATATCATTTTACTCTATGACTAGGGCAGTCTCCACTCACTGGATGTTAGGGAGCAAGGAGGAGTAACCTGTACCCCTCATTAACTTTGATGTTTGAAGTTCAACATCAGCACCGTTCATCGAAGCACTCAGCGGTCCGGTTCGCCCTCATCCCTCCTGCCCATAACTCTCACCCCCAAGCCATCTCTCATAGCTCCTTCCAGGGCCGACCCGCGGCTAATCCGTTGGGCGCTCTAGGGCGGTGTACACAGAGGGGGCGTTTGCAGAGTCGGCTGGGAGCCAAGTGTGGCTCCGCTCGCGCAGCGCCGGCGCAGCCCGCCAGGGGGACCCCGACCCGCCCAGGCGGCGTCTGATAAAGAGTCTGAGGGGCGTGGGGCCGCGGCGCCTGCTCCAGGAAACCCGGGTATCCGCAGGGGCTCCCCTATTGCTCCAGTGGACTGGCGGGGCTGGGACCTCGGCTCTGGGACCTGCGGTTGCACCGCAGACAGAGGCGTGCCCCACGGGTGGGTGTGTCCGTTTCCACCCGCTGGCCTTCCAGCCCGGAGAAGAGCTCCTGAAAGCGGGTTTTTGTCCCCCAAGACAGGTTTTGTCTTCGGTAAACCCGGATCCAGAAGTGCAACTTTGCGGCCGAGTCACGCGTAGGGCCTTTGGGGGCCTGGGAAGGGGAGGAGCGGATCTTGTCGGCATCCTCCAGGAGGAGGCGGGCTGCGAGAGCGAGGGCAGCGGGGCTGGGGGAGTTCCCACGGGCGGTGGGAGGCGGCGAGATTGGCTCCGACCCGGGTCCCGACCATGCGGTGACGCTCTTGGAAGCCCGCCCCGCCCCCCACCCCAGCCCCTAGCCCCCAGTCCCCAGTCCCCAGCCCGCCTCTTCCGTGCTTAGGGCGTGAGGGGTGGTTGGGATCTGTCTGGACCAGAGCAGAAAACTTTTACCCTCCAGGCCCCCGGGTCCCTTTTGTCTTTCTTGGAGGCGGCGACGACTCCTGAGCGGCGAGTCCCTGCCTCCCGGCCGGCGCGCTGCGCCCGCTGACCTCCGAGGGCAGGAGCGCTCCGGCTCCTTGCGCTCGATGGCTGTGGCCGGCGGCCCCGCGACCCGCGGTGGACACAGGCATCAGCGCAGCCCCCGCCCCGAGACCGCCGCCGCCCCCACGGCGCGTGGGTAAGGGGCGCCCCCCACCCTCCGCCGCCGGTCCCCCGCCCTCGCCGCCCGCCCCCCCGCCTGACTCATCCGCCCGCCGTGGCCGCGCCGCGTCCGCCGCCCGAGCCCAGTCGGGATGGGGAGGGAGCCCGCGGCTGCCGGCGGCTACCGAGACTCCCGCTGACGCCCCCGAGCCCGCAGCCTCCTCCGCTCGTCTGAAGAGGCGCCCGACGTCCCAACTGCTCCAGCAGTGAGAGTCCGGAGAGACCCCTGGACCCCTGAGGCCGCGAGCTCAGGACAGGTGAGGGGGGGGAAGGGAAGGTGCTGTCGGGGGGCGGGGAGGTGGGTGGGCAGCCACGGCAGCCGCAGAGGGGCGCTTCTTCACCCCCACTCCCCCCGGCTTCAGCCGCCGGAGTTCGGGTAAACGCTGTTTCCCGAAGTTTGGGAAATAAACCAAGTCCGCCATCAGTTTCGGGCTCCCCAGCCCTCGGAGCGCAGGGGAAGCTTTGCGGGGCAGCCTCCGGGAGCCCAGAGCCTCGGAGCGCCGGGCTAGGCTTCCCGAGCTACACCCTCCTTTGTCTCGGTTCCAGAGAGTCAGCATTCTCGGCGAAGACGTCCGCGGCGTCAGTTTATAGTAGTTCCTGGCAGGAGCGAAGTGTAGTCAGGGTTTCCCTAAAGCAATACCTGGGAGTATCTACATGGGTAAAATGGAGAGGCAGAGCGATTAATTGCCGATTTCAGCACTACTTTTCTCCCTATATAGTCACATAGTCCGTCCTGCAGAAAAAGAACTGAGGCTTTGCAAGATTTGCTTCATTAATCATTCTTCTGCTATAATTAATTATCCACGCCAGCATTTCACACTGTGGAGGTGTAAGCTCTCTTTGTCTACTTACTACCTTTCGATTTAGGTGGAGAAGTGTATGTGTGTGACACATGTAATAAAAAATAATTCATTATTCAGTACCAGGCACCGGTGATGACAGAAAATCAGATGCTTCACATATATGTAATTTACTAATTGGAGTCTATCCCAGTACACCTGGGTCTGGTGTATTTCAGAACTACATATGTTGCATTAAAGTGTCTCTTAACCTTGTGTGGTTTTTTTTTGTTTGTTTGTTTTTTGTTTTTTGTTTTTTGTTTTTCTTCTGAAGACCCTCAGAAGTAGTCGTAGACAACTGTATGCATAGAAAATATTTAAGGAATCAACATCTGTTCTTATTTGTCAGTAAGAATATTGAACTCTTTTGGTTTTGCCGTCAAACCAAGTTCCGAGCTACACTTTCTGGAGTGCTTTATGCATAGGTATTACCAGTTCTCTGTAAAAGCTATTTACTTTGATGGTTTATCACGTCTTGCATTGTAGAAATACTTATTATCAATTGACCTTCAGTTTGTTATTTGGTTGCTGATATGGGAATATATTACCAATTTGTGAAAAATAGGCTAGATTTTGAAACTTTTTAAACCCTTGTTTTTCCACTATTGTTTATCTGGGCAGAAGCATCTGCTTGTAGTTTCATGGTTTTCAAACAGCTTAAGTGAAGGAAAGGAGTCCCTCTAAACAGAAAATAATGTTTTCATTAAGTGGAAACTATAGTTAAAGGTCTCAGCAATTTAATGATACAGGATTTTTTTTTTTTAACTCTTAAAAATATATACTGAGGGTTAGAAATGATTTAGGCTAACCAAGTCCTACTAGTGAGCTCATAATTATGGGATAATTTAGCTATAATTTGTAACCCTGGTTATAATTACCTTTGTATCCTAGGCTGGGAAAGCCTTCAGTGAAAGAGGGAGTTGTTGCGTGGGAAGTCTCTGTGTGTGATTTCCAGGCGGTCAGCACAGAAAGGCTTTACCTGTTGCTTCTGAGTCGGGTCCAGGTAAAAGCCATGTGGTATCCCAAAGGCACCCATAATCAAAAGGGATTCTTCAAGAAGGCTCATTGTAAGGAGGGATGGCTGCACTTGTTATTTTAAGTTGGAAGAATTGTCAGTGAAGCTTTTGAATGCCCCCAGAGCTAGATTGCTATAGTTGGACTTGTGTGGTTTCAGAATTTTGACAACAGCTCACTGGGAGAAGATAACCCACCACTGACACGTAGTGGGGGGGAGTGAATCTGAACCGATTGTGTAAATTCATTCATTGCCCTGAAGATTATCAGCATGAAGGGAAAGAAATTCATATTGACCTCAGGAAAATAGATAAAAACAAGGATAGAAGCAGATGTCACCTTTTGCATTTCTTAAGCAAAATTAGTAGAAGATAAATTCGTAAGTCCTCATAATAATGCACTTATTAAATAGAATAAAATCTAAAGGGAAGGCACTTTCAAAATAAATTTCATTTATTAATACTCTCCATAAATAGGAGACGGCATGGGAAGTCTTCCTCAAACAAAATGCTTTTGGAAAACAAAAACGAAACTTGTATAAGGACCAAAAAACACATCTGCAGTGAGATGGACCCTTCATTTTATTAAGGGATAGATGATGTGCAGTTTTGGTAAGTGTGTCTGGTTCAGAACTTAAGATAGGATTTGTCTGCTCGTGTCTGATTTGTACCCAAGCACTCGGAGAACACAGGTGAACACATGTCGGATGTATTCCTATGGACTGGCTGATGGACTGTAAAGTAACCTCTCCCATGGGAACTTAAAATCTGGTGTGGACAGGGCTGGAAAGTGTGCACAGATCGCTGAGCATCTGGGCTGGTTCTTGAGCATCAGGGCACTGGTGCACACAGGGGAATAGTGTGGTGGGTTGCAAAGGACTCTGGATGGGGGCTTGGAAAAACCCAAGTTCTCCTGACTAAGCCGCTGAATGAGTGGCCCTGGATATGTTACTTGGCCTTCACGGGCTTCTGCACCCTCATCCCCTTATCGACAGATTGAGGGTTTTGGACCTGTGATCTTCCTGTCTTTTTTAAAGTGCTGTGTGATGAGTTTTGGTGGAATTGAGAGGGAGAAGCCAAAGTGTAATTTGGGAAGGGTGCAGTTAATAGAGTTGCATCAAAGGAAGACGGGCAAGACATGTCCATGCTGGACACAGGGAAAAGGTAATAATGATGCTAATACGAGGTAAAGGAGATCTGACCGATCATTGATTATCTGAGCTTATAATACATAATAAAATAATAAATGCCAACTTTTGCTGATTATTGGACAGATTTTGATGAATTTTCACAAATAATGGCAATTGATTTTTCACAACATCCCCAAGAGGTAATGAGAGCAGAAAGGTGAGGAAGCGGGAAAATACTACAAAGCGCATGTGTTCCCGTATGCCCCGTTGCCTTTCTGCAGACTTAGAGAGATAGGAGAAGCTGGAAAGTGCTTTGGAAACCTTTGTTCATGGGATAGAGAGATAAGGTGGGTGTCTGATTTTAGTGGAGGTTCAAGTTTCTGAGTAAAAATTTAGTTTACATTCTGGAAGTTAAGTCTCTAAGAGAGCGAAACCTCCTGAAAATGTCTTGATTTCTGTTGTTGATGTTTATTTAGTCTGATTATTTCTGTGTGCTTCCTCCCCACTTCGCCTCCCTCCCTTTCCCCAGCAAGAATTCTGGGGATTTGACTATTTACAGAGTCATTGGTAAGACTCTTCGAAAGAAAAGAGTTTTGAGTGCAGCTGGGAAAAGGAAACTATCCTGTAAAGGCGGGGATTGGCGAGGCCTTGGGGGTGGGGTGGGGGGGGACGACTATTGTATTGCGAATGGGATATATGCTAGGAGCAAGTTGTGATTTTTTTTGTCCCTGGGGGTGAAATTACACAGGAGTCAAAAGATTATGAACAAGGCATGAAGATATGGATTTCTCCATTCCCTCCTGTGGTGCCCTCATCTCTGCCTGAAAAGATAGAACATCAAGGATAGGCAGGTGCCCCCACCCCGTGTCCCTGGCCAAGGGAGTTGGTCAGGATTCGTTATATGTGTGAGGAACCTCTATTTAACTATGTTATACAAAAAAGGATTTACTGGCTCATGTGACTGGAAAATCCAGCAAGATGGGCCTTGTTTCAGTCGTGGCTAGAGCCCACAGGCTCACGTGGGCTTTGTAAGGGCTCTTTCTCTTTCTCCCGATTTCTCGGCTCCTTTCTCTCTGGGTCAGCTTCATTCTGAGGCCCCTTCCTATGTGCTGGGAAAGCTGACTATCAAGTAGTTCCCATTTTGCCTTCTTGGGCTTTTGAGCCATAGAAAAGAGAGGTTTTGTCTCCTCCAGGTCCTGTTCATAGACATTTCCTTCAAGGGCTCTGACTGGCCCTATATCAGTCCACATCCATCAGAGTTGCAGTCTTGAGCTAGATCATGTGCCCCATGCTGTGTACATGGTGGTGGTGGTAGGGTGAGGATGCAGAGGCTGGCGGGGACGCCACGATGGACAATCGTGTCACGATCCCATAGAGGTGTGGTTCTCTGAATCTACCGATGTGGTCAATCAGAAACAACATGTCTGTCATCGAGGAGCATTGTCCCCTCCTTTTTCAGGACAGACCCCCTAAACAGTGGTGTGGAGTTTGCACGTGGAGGCAGCTCAGGTGCCCAAGACCATACACATTACAAAAGTGGGACCCTCCTCCCAACCAAGGCAAAGCCCAGTGATGAAGTAATGCCCTTCGTGTCTAGACTTTGCTGAAAGAGGTGTGGTTGCAGGATATTTCTGACTGAGGAGGCCACCATTTGTCTGTATCCATGTACTTTTAGTAAATATCCCTGTGCTTTATTTCCAGCCTAGCCATTTCATGATCAGAAGCCCTGGTCATCTAAAGATCATGAAATTGGAGACCCCTCCTTTAGGGACTACCCATCTAGCAAATGTTTGAACAGGAAAGTGAAGTGATGGCATAGTACCGTTATTCATGGAGGTTCCCTGAGTTCATGGGAGTTGGGCAAGGGGGAGGCAGCAGGCATAAGTTAGAGTTACCACTTAGGACCTAAGTCCTAAGATGATAGGTACCAAATTAGAATATTGGGAGGTGTGCATGACATTATGAGTCTGGTAAGGGCATATGACTTGATAAAGGAGATTCTGTGTTGACATGCGAGGAATGAATGGATCTGGAAGATCAGTGGGAGGTAGTAGGTGACATGGCTGTGTGCTGTGAGTAGGTACGTGGTAACTGGCTATGTAGAAAGGAGGCCAATGGTGACGGTGAGTCCAATGGGCACGATGTTTATGCATGTAGCACTGACATTTATTGGGGACCTACCTAGTATGCCAGGTCCTGTGTTACATGTTTTGAATTCACCATATTCTTTAAATCTCATAAAAACCGTCTCTGGTGAGAACACTGGAAGTTAGGG